AGATTTGGTGTATCTGGATTTTCAGAAAGCATTTGACAAGGTAGCACATAAAAGGCTTGTAAAAAAATAATCTCTATAGGTGTGGGAGATAAGTTAGCAAATTGGGTAGAAAAGTGGCTGGATGGAAGAAAGTAAAGGTTTGTTACAAATGTAGTTCATTCAAACTGGATTAATGTTACAAGTGGGGGTACCTCAGGGCTCAGTCTTAGGACCCTTGCTCTTTTTGATTTACATCAGTGACACTGATGAAGGAATAGTTAATAAATTACTTAAATTTGCAGATGATATCAAGGTCTTAAATGTTGGTAGCTGTGAAGAGGATGCTGCTGATTTACAAAAGGATTTAGATAATTTAGTGAGTTGGGCAAATAAATGGCAAAAGGGTTTTAATTATAATAAATGCAAGATAATGCAAGTTGGTTAGTTGAGTTATAAGTATAATTTGGATGGGAATAACTTTAACAGTGTTGTGAAAGAAAGGGATCTTTGTGATCAGTCTCTAAAGCCATCCAAGCAGTGTGCTGTTGCTAGTGGTAGGGCAAATAGGATTTTAGGTTGTATCTACAGAAATATTGAATACAAGTCTAAAGAGGTTTTAATTTATTTTCACATACTAAAATTGATATTTTTGGCTACAATGTTTTTTATGCATTTATCCCTTTTTTTTTCTAATTTTATATTTAGGCCACATTTGGAATACTGTGTTCAGTCTTATGCTCCTTACCTTAGGAAAAAGATTGTTGGAAAGGGTTCAGAGAAGAGTTACCAGAATGTTGCCTAGAATGGAGGGGTTGTAATATGAGGAGAGGTTTTCTCTTGAAAAAAAGAAGAGTTAGGGGGGATCTTATTGACGTGTTTAAGGTTGTAAAGGGATTTGATAGTGTTGATGCATCATCTTTTTCATACTTAACAGTGAGAATAATAGGACTAGGGGACACAAATATAAATTTTGCTAGGGTAGGAGTTATCTTCAGCTAAGACAGTTTTATTTTTCTAACAGGGTGGTTGGCCTTTGGATATTGTGGAGAAGTAAATTTAAATGAGTTTAAGAAAAAGCTTGATAAGTATATGAATGATAAGAGCTGGCTTTAAGATTTTTTTAAAATTAATTTATTAATAGTTTAAGTTTAGTTTAGAGGATGAAACAGCTGAGGTGGAGCAATATTTCCCATGCTGTTCCAAAACATGTTATGTTAACTTATATATCAATTTGATTGCTTTTAAGGAGTTTCAGTTGCTAGATTTGTATTATTGTGGTGCGTGTATTCCTAATATATATGTCTATAATTTATGTATAACAGTTGTTACTTTTAAAAAGTCTGAATTGCTAGGTTTGTATGATCATAATGCTCCTGGTATCACTGATCTCCATAATTATTCTATAAGAATGATTGTGTTGTTAATTTTTTATTGCTAGTTTTGTCTATGTTGGTACTATCACTGCTGTCTATACTTTACCTAAAAGAATGATTCCTTTTGAGAATTTATCATCTGTAACATAGCTTTTTAACTTTGGTTTTGTAAGGAGATAGGATCTTTCCAGTGGAAACTCTACTGTGTCTTACACATTTCAGCATAATTGTAAATGTTTCAAAACACATGCAGCATCATCAGTAGTAAACTTTTATGCAATAAATAAATAAATATTTATTTTTTTTGTTTCTTTTAAATATTTAGATCTAGTAGAAGACTACCAATCCTTTCTAAGTTCAGTAACATTCACTTCTCAAGTTCAAGTTTCTTTTCAGGTTTGTTTGGTAAGTGTTAGCGAAGTAGACATGAAGATTTTTCTCAGAAATGTTTGTCTGAGTTATTAAAACCTGATAAAACAGTTTGTCATATTAATTTAATGAGCACACTTTCCATTATTTTTGGGATTTTTAATAGCCATAAAAAAGTACTTTTTTCTATTGTGCTAATTACAAATGATTGGTGTTTGTTTCTTAACGTATCAATTTCAATTAAATTATTGGGAAGTTAATAAGTAACTTGCATGAAATGTAGTGTGGTTTTGATTGGTTTAGTTGTAATCAGTTCACTAATATAACATATACTGTTTGAGTAATTTGTGTCTAGTTTACTTGTATTTGCCTAACCAAATGTTTCCTCTTAAAGAAGCCATCATTTGACTTGATTTACTAACGAATTTCATAATGAAGCTGCTTCAAAATAGATTGTTTCACATACTAAAATTGATATTTTTGGCTACAATGTTTTGTATGCATTTATCCCCTTTTTTTTTTCTAATTTTATAGTGAGTTTTTAAAAGCATTTCTGATTAATCAATGGTTTTATTTGCATAACATCTAGAACCTACTAAATTAATATTGTTGGGTTTTGTATAGGGGGGCTTGATTTTTTACAGTAGGTGTCTGTGATTTGTTGGTGATAGATTTCAACAATATACAGAGCACACAATCCATTTGTTTTAAAATAATATATTCAAAACAAGTCAAATGTATATAGAAATGTTTGTTGCACAGTTAATCACCAGTTGTATTCAGAGCTTTAAATAATCGTCTTTTTTTGTCAAGAGTCCATGCAGCTAGTCCAGTTACTTTAGAACCCAATTGACAAGACAAATTCTTCTTCTCTACTCTGTTATCACAATACAGTCAGTGATAAATTCACTTATGTTACCACAGTTGTATCCAGAGCTTTAAGTAATTCTCTTTTATATAGCACCTACATGTATGTTACAAAGCTCAAGCAAAAGTATAGAAGGTGGGCGTGGCACCCGGAAAGGGTTGAAAAAACTTATTACTTGTTTCTACTGCATTTAGCCACAAAGAACTTTGAAACTTACATGTCAGTAGTCCAAGTAAAGGTACTTATTGTCTAGACATGGATCTTTATGACTAGCATTATCTTAAACAAAATTGAAAGTGTGGGTCACATGACAACAAAGCCTTAAGTTTTAAGTATTTTTCTTTAAAGGTTTCTTTGGAAATATAAAAATTAAAACTTGTATAACATAGAACTTCAATCATACATACATTATAATGTTAATTTCATTCCAATGCATTGATAGTAAAGATGTTTAAATTTTGAATGATCTTTCAGAAGACAAAACATTTATAATTACAAAAGCTTCAAATATACTCATTCCACCTTCAGTGAAATCTGGAAATAATATTATATTTCTTATATAATGCTATAGTAACTTCAGTTTTTATTTACTTAACCATATAACAGGCCTGGCATGGCCAGGTGGTTAGGGAACTTTATTCACAATTTGAGGGTCGTGGATTCGAATTCTTGTCCCACCAAACATGCTTGCCCTTTTAGCCATGGAGTGTTATAATGTGATTGTCAATCCTTATAATTTTTGGTAAAAGAATAGCCCAAGAATTGGCACTAATTGGTGGTGACTAGCTGCCTTCCCTCAAGTCTTTCACTGCTAATTTAGGGATGGCTAGCACAGATAGCTCTCAATTAGATTTGTGCGAAATTCAAACAAACAAACCCTATAACAATGACGTGCTTCAGACTGAAGCACTTTCTGTAACTCTCATTAAATTTCATTCCAGTAATAAATCAGTGGATCAAATTGTTTAAACTTCACAAGAACTTTCATAAAAGTATGTTGTTTGAGAAAAATAAAATATTTAATTCCAAAACATATTTACCTCATCTCACACTACAGCTATTACTCGACTGCCAGGATTTCTTCGCCCATCTAAGTCATGTTCAAGTCTTTTATACCCCACCTAATTGCCCTTGGCAAAATTTGTCTCATGACATTCTCTGCCTACATCAGTGTGCTCTCTATCCTGGTACTGTATATAAGCACCTCATTCAGATAATGTTATCATTGTTTCTGGACAAAGTGTTCACTAATGGGTTTTTCCATGCTGTGATCTTCATGTTACCTAGTTGATTTTCGTACTAAAAAACTTTTTTTTTTTATTTGGCAAGCTGATAATATGGCATGAATTCTTGTATTATTATTTCTGGCAAGGAGGCAAATCAGGTCTCCCCTATCCCACCTCTGATATCTAGCTTCACTCAACGATCGGGGAGGGGAGAATCACTCTCAGTTGAGACTGTCAGTGATCTTATTCATAGTGAGATGGAGACATATGTTCGGTTCTGTGGTGTTCCTCTGAGGGACTCTAAGGCTGCAATTGAGGGCAATCCTGGACATTTTGGTGAGAATTTAAATTCACTTTTTCCTGCACCTTCCTTTATTCTGTTGGCTTCTCAGGAGGCCACCTTGGGATAAGCTGCCTCTGGCTGTTTTTCTTCAGTTGGTACATTGAGTGTGTTATATTTTGAGTTTTTCCTTAGTTGATTTTAAGCCTGCACCTTACTTGATGGCAGAAAGGTCTGGGAGCAAATAGTTAGTTTTCCCTCCATTCACTGACATTGTAGTTCATGCAGGGAGGTTTACTGCTCAGTTACCTGAAGGGACAGCTGTGCCTTGTGTGCCACAGTTGTTTAGCCTACCACTGCCAGGTGGAAGCATTTTCCCGACTCTCAAAGAATACATATGTTTCTTGAAATTTGGGATTCTAGAGTGGGGTCTTTTGTTAACCAGAATAGATCACAACTTTATAGGAATTGTCTTGCTATATATATACAGTCCCAAGCTATTTATTAACCCTCTAAACTTTGTTGGAAACTCTAAAGATCACCAAGTCCATTGGTGATGAGCTGGGACCATTGTTAGCATGCACATTGGTTCAGTTATCACCTTCTACATTCAGCCCTGTCGTCGTTGGCATCTCGACTTTCCTCGGTTTCTATAGGGGATCATAGTTCTGCCCCTATTTGAGGGTCCCAAACACGACATCAGCCCCTTGATCCATTGGTACCCAGAATAGATTCTGTCCATATCCAAGGGTTCTGCTGCTTGGTCGAAACACGTGGTAAACCTTGATCATGGATCCATGGGCATTACAAGTCCTTGATTCAGGATTAGTCTTTCATTTCACATTTTGATCACCATGATCCACCCAACCTGTAGTGTTTCTGTCTCCCTCAGATCCTTGGATTTCAGTCTAGGGCTATCAGAGTTGATCTGGAGGTAGAGAGAGAGTTGTGCCAGTTCTTCTGGGGTTTTATTCCTGTCAGTTTGTTGGGTGCAAGAAGAAAGAGACTAGTATTCAGTCTTTGATTTTTTTCATCTATACCAATTCCTAGATTCTCCAAGGTACACAAGTGAATCATTCCTCACTTTGAGTTTGTAGTTGTTACTACAATTGTGCATGGCCAAGGTCGATGTTATCGGCTCTTATCTGCACATTGCCATAGTGGTGGCATCCCGCCACTATTGGCATTTTTGTGCACAAGGGTCAGGTACTGCAGTTAAAGGTTCTTATCTTCAGACTAGCATCAACAGCATATGGATTCTATCGAATAGTACAACTTTTTTCTCATCACCTCTATTCCCTAGCTTTGTGCACACGCTATTCCACAGACAACTGGTTACTGCTGGCACCATCTCACCAATTATCAGAATGTCGAACTCAGATTATGCTTTCAGAAGCAATCAAGGCAGACATCCTTATCAAAGCTGAGACATCTGTTTTTTCTCCAACACAATATGTCATCAGTCTGTGTATTTTTTCATCACTTATCTCAGTGGGGCTCAGCCAACTCCCATCTGGCTACAAGCTATGGAACAGGAAGTCCAACTCTTACTCACCTCTCCTTTTCCCACTGCATGGATGGTTCTTTCTCTTTTGGGAATGTAAGCATCACTCAAATCCTTCATGCCTTTGGGACAAATGCACAAGAGTTTCCTTCAATGGTCTTTATGCGGCCACTGGATCATGAACACAACATTTTCCTTATTCATTATCATTCTCTTTGATCTTGAGGGGTTGTTAGATCAGAACAGTACTAAGATATGGGTTCATCTGCTTCCACCTCGTACAGAGATCCATCTCTTCACAAATTACTTGCTTTAGGGATGAGGTGCATATCTCAGTGGTCAGGAATTCCAGGGTCTATGATGGACAACGAAGCTTCCCTACACAATGATTTAGACTATCTTGCTCTTCAGAAGGTGATGTCTCATGGTCTGGGCTTATTAAGAGGAAAATCATCAGGCTTCACTCTGACAATTCCACATGGTGTCTTGCACTTTCCATCAAGGGGCACTTGGTCTATGGCTTTCTGTTTTTGAACCTTGGATCTCCTTTCTCAGGACTACTCCTGTCATATCACTCTACTAGCTTGTCATGTTCCACAGGTGATGACTTCAGTGGCAGATTAATTGTGTCGACCCAAACAGATTCTTCCAATAGAATAGATGCTGCATTGCGAGGTTTTTCTGTAGTATTGGCTCTCATTTTGAAACATTGATGATTGGTGGGTTGGCCACTCTTTGGAACACTCAACTACTGGCAAGTTGGTCTCCAGTACCTCACCCTTTGGCAACAGATGTATTCAGTTAGGACAGGATGGGATTACAACTGTAGTTCTTCCCTCCAATTTCTATGTTACCCAAGATACTAGCTATGATTCGTTCCTACCCATTGTTGGGTCCTGTCGATAGCACCAAATTGACAGCTAAACTCTGGTTTATGCTTCTGCTGTACCTTCAGGAGTGCCCACCTCTTTCACTTTCTCTTTGGTCTTCTCTGTGGAGGCAGCCATGATCTGACATTGTGCACTGGCTATCCAGAAGCTCAAGCTTCAGGCATGGAGGTTATTCAGTTCTTCTAAAGCCATCTGGGTTTAATTTCTAAGGTTGCCATGTATCTGTTCTGTGATGGACACTTATCAATGGAAATGGCACACATATTGGCAATGGTGTATTGAGAGGAGGTTGAACCCACTTCGATCAGAAGTGCAAACCATGACTTCTTTTTTGACCTGGTTCTTTGGTAACGGTTTTACATCTTTCACAATTGCCCTGTCTAAGACAATCTTATCGACTACCATTCAATACTCATGACAAAAAGTCTTTGAGTTCCAAGTACTCTCCAGCATCCTCAAGTTGCTTTGGGTCCTTTGTCCCAAAGGACCATTCCAATCACTTAACTGGTATATTACAGTTACATTATATGTCCTTTCTCAACACCTCTTTGTGACCTTAGCCTCATGTACCATGTATCACCTTTCCCTGAAGGTGTATTTTTCGTTGCTACTGACCTACAGACATTGCCGATCGGAGTGGTTTGCAATGATTGTGCAGAGGACACTTTATCATTCTACCTATGTCCTCAGACCAGTTCTTTTTTTCTTAAGACACTATCAATCAGGGAAGGGGATAAATCCTTTTCACCTATTCATCTGATCACTATTTCTCACTTCTAAAACCAATCAGATCTCGATCATTTGTTATGTCCAATGAGGGTCTTGAAGATTTTGTTGCCCCCACTAATGCCTTTAGATATGCTAAACAATGACTTATTATTCATTGGGATTATTCCGTTTCCCAGGACTTATTCATGGTTACATTGATGAGGTGGGTATGAAATTGAAGGTGAGGATTTTGTGTGTGTCATATCTAATCAGATTCGTCACATTTCTATGTCTTTAGCAACCTGGTGGAATTGCCTGCTGGAGGACATTGTGCAGGCTGGTATGTGGACCTCTCCCAATACTTTTATATCACATTATTTTCATGATCTGACTGTATTTTCATCTGAGGGTTTTCGACTACTCCCTGTAGCTATCTTAACCATTTCTGCTAGATTATACCGAGGAGTGAGTATTTTCATTGCTATGCTTGTCACTAACTTTCAGGGTCCTTTACTTCCTTTTTCAGAATCACACTCTGCAACGAGTGTTGCCTAGGCAGGTGTGCTTTTTTCAAAACAATTCTGTACTAGCAACCCCTAATTCAGTATACTTTATCTAGGTTTCAACAGGCTCTGTAGAAATAGCATGTTCCATAAGACTGCCTAGAGGCTGACCAGTGGTATTATTATACTATGCTGGACAGCATTATCATGAGTAAAGCTTAAGATGATCCTGCTTGTTTCTGCTGATCATTGGATTGAATAAATCAGGGTAAGTCTGCTTTTAAAAATTTAGGGAACTAGATTCATCTATTGCACTGTTTTCAGACCACTGTTCCTCAGGGCTCCTCAACATGCATTATCCCCCAGATTCTCCTAGTGGAAATAGGGAGTTCTTACCACACCTGGTTTCCAGTCACTGGGGTGGTGGACAGAGGCTTTTCTTCCAGAGTGTTAGTATGAATTTCCTTCACACTTGGAAGAGAGGGCAAAGTTGGGGGCCATCTTACCCTGGTCTCTGGATGTTTTTTTCCCAGATGTCAGTAGGAGAGGCACCAGCCGACGCAGGAGCCAAATCATAATACCAGTTCAAATTTGATGCTCAGCTGTCTGGTTGGGTTGAGCGTGGCCCTTCTTTTGGATCAGTATTGGTTCAATACATTGTTCATTGAAGAGGTTCCATAATTCTGAATGCAGAGTGGTCTCATCCTGGGTCTCTGGTTGAACACAGTTTGTTCCATGTACTCTACATAATTCCTGGGGCAAGTGGAATTTACCTTGCCCACACAGAGTATAGTATACAAGATCCTGTCATTCTGAGCCTGGGGTGTTTCCTTTCAAAATTCTTCAGGTTGAGGAAAAGTTTTGTCCACTTCAGTGTTGCTTACTTTCTCGTATTGATTCTGGTGGCTCGGAACACATCACTCTTTGGCTACAGGCTGGGATCCACTCATAAATATATATATGTATATATATTGCAGTCAAACTGACCTAGCCACCAATGTGGGACCATAGCCATATATATAATTCCAACCCTGAGCAGTGGAACTTCATCTATCTAGTTGTGGTCTGGCCAATAGTGATAACAAATCATGTAAAATTCCACCCACAGTACATTAATTAAGTTCCGGGTGAAGGGCATACCTATTCTGGATGTAGTGTGGTTCTCCCAATAAGGTGCCAATCTTCTATTGACACGCCCATGATCTATGCAGACACTTGTATATGGATAATGTCTTCATTGGCCTCTCCACCTTATCAATGTGTGATTCTAGCTGTAGTGTGAGAGGAGGTAAGTATGTTTTGGAAGTTAACGTTTTCTTAAATTGAAAATGTATTTGCAATAATTTTTATCACTTTTCACACTCTCCCACTCTTCCTCCCCACTAAGAGCTGGTGTTAGAGACTGCAGATTGAGTCAGTCTTGAAAAAGTTGTAACAGTATCTGAATGAGGTGCTTATATACAGTACAAGGATAAAGGCACGTCGACACAGGTGGAGAGTGTCATGAGACAAATATTGCCAGGGTATAAAAAACTGGTACAAGCAAGAAATATTCAGACCAATGCTTAGATATGAGCAAACAAAGAAACCCTGGCAGTCAAGTAATAGCTGTAGTGTGAGAGGAGGTAAGTATTAATGGAAATGCATTTTCGGCTTAAGAAAGTGTTCACTTTTGGTTCTTTCTATTATTTCTTATAAAAATGTGTTATTTTATGTAGTTATTTGCACTAGGACTCTGAATAGTTCACCTGCAAGGTAATTTTCATATTGAGTATAAAAATACTATCTATTATCTTACAGTTTTCACATTTCATTTGCATAATCTCTAGAACCTCCTAAATGAACATCAGAAGTTTTTTAAGGTAAATGTTTATATTTTATTTTCCATTTTCTCTACCATATCACTAACTCTAGCTGTTATGGTCAACATACAGTGTAATGAAATGCTTAAAATTAAGAATAATTGTTGAATAATCCTTAAAATATCTTCTTTGGGTCATATGCATAATTTCATGTCTTTACCTTATCACTTATACTTTATTTTTAATTTTGTATTTTCCTTTCCTGTTTTTTTACTACTGATTATTTATGTTGACACACATCAATGGGTACCAACTAGTGATATAACAGTATGAATAGCCTTTGTCAAACTTTTTTATACATGCTTGCTAATGTAAGCTTTGCTCACTGTGTTGAAGCTTTTGTTATTTTATAAAAATTATTAAACCTTTCAAATATGTATTTCAAAACACAAATAATGCATTATTAACTAAAATGTAAAAGTAAAACCTAAATGCAATTTAACTCTCTCGACAACTATAACACAGTTTAGGTAAAAAACAACTGAAATGCTATCATGAACAAAGCAGCCAACAATAGTACAAACAGTTACATTTACCCGAGGATGACAACTTGACACCAGTTTTCAAATAATCATTGGATTATAGTGTAAAATTAGCTCTTTCTAACAACTATCAACATGTACATGTTGAAAGTACATGTAACTTCTAAAGCTCAACGTTAACGTGTGTCACCTGTCAGAGGTTGATAAAATTTATTTCTTGTTTCAACTGCATTCATTGAAAGAACTTTTAAGCATATGTGTGAAAAGGTCATGTAAACTAGATTCTCATCTAGACTTACATGTACATGACTTACCCCTTAAGCTTCAAGCTATACTTTGCCAAATTTTGACATTGTTTATAGATCGGGCATCATGTGAGACAGAAATGAGATATTTCATTATTATGTAACTTTTCAAATAAAGGAATAAAAACTAAGATAATATAAAACTTTGAACTATAATGTACTTGATCATAATTTCATTAAAATACATTGATAGTAAAGTGGTTTAATTTAATTTTGAATGTAACTCAGTGACGTGCAGAAAGGTGTTTAAAAAGCATGTTGTTGTTAAAGGGCTAAAATATTCTGTAAATCAGTAAATGGAAGGAAGTATAAATTGTAAAATATGTTGCTGATGTATCAAGATTATAAGTTGTGTGAGGTTATAAATATAATTATTGTTAACGAAAGGCTGAATGTGAAGTATAAAGTTACTTAGAATAATTTTAGTTCTTAGAATTAAAATCCAGATGGTCTTTTGCTATGAGTAAGCTTTCTTATGGAGTTTAAGGTCTAAAGATTCTATTGTAATAATGGAGATATCATTATATGAAAGTGTGTGACCAGTGATTTCAGCATATGAATGAATAGATGAGTGGTTGGGTTAATGTAATGGTTAGCTGGTCCTGTTGGGTACACCTAAATTCTCAAAAGTGGCATTTTGTTTTTCCAGTGTATATGACCTTAGAGTCATTACGAGTATATTTATACACAAACTGTGAATGTAGAAGTGTTGGTACTTGAATTTTATATTGAGAGAAATATGTAATGCAGAGGCTAGAAATATATATTAATCTCAGCTCAATTTTCAATGAAGAAGGAGAGTTGTTTTTTAATTTGTAAAGTTTGTGAGTCCATAAAAGGAAGCAAATAATGAGGGGAAATTTGGGGTTGATGTGCAAAGTAGCCAGAGGCTGGAATTTGTTGTTTAGTAATATTTAGTTGCTAGTAATATTTGTTTGAAAGTCCGTTGGATAGCCACTGTTTTAACAGTTGTTTGTGCAGAAGTATAATTTCTCCATGTAAAATAGAGTAATTCAAATAGAGATCTTTTTTTTTTCTTTTAGTGTGAAGATGCTCCTTTTGAGAAAATCTGTGGTGTAGTACTTCAGATTAATACTTCTCACCAGTGTAAAAACATACCAAGTAAGTTTACCATATTTTTAAAGTTAGTGCTTCTTACAAGCATAGATAATACCAAAGAGAGATAGTTTTGTTATATTATTTCTTCAGTCTCAATTTAGTGCTTTATTTTAATTTGTATGTAAAGTATTGGAAATAATTATGGAAGCAGCAAGATAAAATGGTATAAAATGCAACTACTACAGAAATGCAGCCCTTTATTTTGTGAAGATGAACTTCACCAGAGTATAATAATATGTTGATAGCTTACTGTGATTGGCTGTCATCCAGCCAATCGTAAAGTGCCACCCCAGTATAAATCCTATAAAAGTGCAAGAAGTCTCATTATGCCCAGTAATAGTAGTGTGAACCCTGTAATTGTTTCCAAGATGAAAATACCACATGGCAAGTATGCAGAAATCAATGTTTTGGACAATCAAAGATACTCAGTGCAAAGCCTAGGGGCAAGACTCAATGTTTCAGAGCAGGAGCTATATGCAAGGCTTTGAAAATAGCACATAAAACTGGATCTGTTAATAACAGAACTGTAAAGATAGAAAACCAAAACTTTCCAAAGTGATTTTAAGTATATCAGTTTTTTAATATTTACAAGATAAACAATTTTCAAATACAGGTCTTTCCAACGATCTTGTTGATACTGGTGTGATTGTTATCTCGATAACAGTTAAATACACATAAGCACGAAGTGATATTGAGACGTATAGCTGCTTGAACACTACTGCTGAGTAGAAATAACCAAACCAGAAATTGAAATGGGCATTGGAACACAAACAACAGTGGAATGAGCAAAGCTTGAAATATGTTCTTTCCAGAAGAATCCAACTTCAAATTGATGGACTATAATCAACAGCAATTTGTTTCATGAAAGAGAGGAGGATGGTACATGTTTGTAGCTACATCTCAGCCAGTAGTATTAGCAATTGATTCAGATTTGGTGACTAGGAACTGCTGACAAGTACATGCAAATTCTGATCAATCATGTCATTGCCACAGGTAATCGGTGCATTGGGCAGAAATTCATCTTTCATCAAGACAGTATTCCCAAGCGTCCAGTAAGTGTGATGAAATCATTTCTTGATGGTAAAGAGGCTGACAGGACACTTACAACCATAGTTTGACCTTTATGAACATTCTTAAGTTTTACGGTAATGTATAGAAACTTGGAAGGTTTTCAGTGATCAGAGAACATGGCTGAATGGTGGAAAGTACTGCGGGATGCTTGGAACAATATTCTACAACTGTATGTTGATAAATTGTATTGCATCATGAAAACAAGGTGTAGTGTTCAATAAAAAAAAAGTGGCTCACATACAAAATACTAATGCATTTGATTGTATAATGCACTTACTCTTTACCCCTCGACGTGGATTCCTGTACGTGGTGAGGGGACCTCCCAGGGAAGGTTCT